TTTAATTGAAAATAACTACACATTAAATATTTATAAAAATATATATATAAAAAATATTAAATAAAAGTTATTATAAATATTGATTGAACACATAATAATTTCAACACATGAAATAAAAATATAATTTCTAGTTTTTGTTAGTTAAATTATAAAACAATAAATATTAATAATAAAAACAAAATTAGACTCAATTACTAAATCTTTTGATATACTCATACTTAATGAAATTGTTTTGAATTTTAAAACAGAATTATTTATTTTAATAAATATTTTTGTTGTAAAATATAGTATTATATTTTATTATATTTTTACTATGATTAGCAAAATTATTTTTTTTCAATATTTCTATTTATAAATGATGACCCCTTTTAAAGGTCCTGTCTGTCCATTAGACAACTCTCTCTCTCTCTCTCTCTCTCTCTCTCTCTCTCTCTCTCTCTCTCTGACTCCTAGACTTAAACCCTTTTTTCATAAAATTTTATTGTTTTTAGAGACTCTGTTTGCTATATATATCTGTTTCGGAGATAAGAAATGACATATCAATTGACTACAGATAAGGACATATAAGGACTTTATCCGAACCAATCATATGAAAACTTATGGCAATATTTTCTGTTATCTTGTTTTTCAAATACTGTAGATATCATACTTTAAAATATCATTTTGTTGTTTAAATTTGAGTTCAATTCATATAAAAATTCATTTAAACAAACTTTGTATTTGCAGACAAATAAAAGACTCTATTAGTACTTTATATACCGTTTATAACTGGAAAAGTTTTTGTTTATATTTTTCATAAATAGTTTTTATTGCAGTTTTTAATCATTTTTATTAAAGTGAGCGTTTCATACAAAATAATATCTAAATATGTACTGAATTTACAAAATGTATTAATATTTTTATAGTATGACAACAATATAGCAATTTAATGATATTAATAATAACAATAATAAAAATAAAGGTTTTTAAATGAGGCATAACTTTCCACATCCAATAATTTTTATAGTATATTACATATCAAATATAGCATATCATATGCATAGGATTTCCTGAAAGTTGTTTTACTTTTTTTATTTTGTTTAATTATAATATGATTACCAATAAATCAGTGTATACTGTTATTTGTTAATATATCATATAAAGCTTTCAATATTTAAACTAAAAACAAAAAATTATGACTTAGAAGTTGGCTGTTAATGAAATCGCATTTAAATTGACTCTCAGTGAGAGAGAGAGAGAGAGAGATTAGGATACGGATAGTATTATCAAACGTCTATCATATACTGTAGTATTAAAACTTTAAATTCATTGAAATATCCACTCGGGTCTCTCAAAAAAATCACTTTAAAATATTTGGTGTATTTTATTGTATGCCATAAAAAATATTTTTGCAAAGTAATCACAACTTTCTCCTCTCCCTCTATTGAATTAACTTCAGAGAGAGAAATAAAAAGCTATTTATTAGTTGGCCTTCAGTTTCAACAAATTAACAAAGCATACAAATATTGGGTAATTTTGTTTAACAAAAAAACGATATTTAAGTACTACTACTACTACTCTCTGGTCAAGTGGTGGTACCGGAGGAGCGTCTCAATGGACTCATTGGGCTAATTCAGTGCTCACTCACTATACTCGACAACAATATTAATACTATTGGTCATCAAAGTGAATGCAAACAATAATATTTGACATCTAATATACTTCAAGTTTAAGAGGAAAATCGGTATTTTTTCCTTTGATAGCCTTTTCCCTCACATATACTCTATATATATATACCGTATATATTGTTAAAGCTTTGCCAATGTTTTGGTCGTCTTTTTTTTCGATACACACATCTTCATATGTGTTCCACACTATCTACTCTCTCTCTCTCTCTCTCTCTCTCTCTCTCTCTCTCTCTCTCTCACTCACTCACTCACTCACTCACTCACTCACTCACTTACTCTAAGTTAGGGCTCTTTGAGCTAATGTTTGAGCCCTGATTTTTTTGGTGAAGGGGACGGGTAGTAGTAGTAGTGGTTGTGATTGTAGTATAGTTTATATATAGTAGAATAGTGGTCGTTGTCGTGGGAAAGTGAGCTCACATGAGTGAGTAAAAGAGAGAAAGAAAGAGAAAAAGACAGAAATATAGGGAGAGATAGACAGAGAGAGAGAGAGAGAGAGAGASAGAGAGAGAGAGAGAGAGATCTGGTGAAGACTTGAGAGCAGACAGATGTCGACTACCAATCACTGCCATTACGGTAGTAGTTGTGCTTCAACTCAGCTGAGAGATCCCTGTCCTCTATCAAACATTCAACATTCCATAACTTATGATTCACGAGTAGTGAACACATTCATTATATTAAACTACCATCAAATAAAAAATCATTATAATAACGATTACATTATAACAACAAATGCTCTTTCATTGTGTTAGTGACTTAATTATTGCAAAAGACTTTCAAATTTTATGATGAAATTCATATGTAATTTGTTAATAACTATATATAGTATACAGTATATACAATACTATATTAAGTTAATTACAACCTTGCTTACATTTTTGAAATAGTTTTTACAATTTTTGGTATAAATAAATATTATATACTATATATAAATATAGTAGAATAATATAAACTAATATGTAAATTGAGTGCTTGTGTTGCACTTTGGATTGCAATAATTATATAATTTATAATATTTGTAATATTTATAATGTTTTGCCATAACCTTTGATAACTTTTTTTTCGATATATATATATATAGTGCATACATTACTAACAATATGTCACATAATTTAAATAACAGGGAAACAAAATTTCCCTGTTTTTTAAAGGGATCGTCAACACCAAACCTAAACATATACATAATATGGCATAGTTTGAGATCACAATAGTAACACTGGTTGTGTTGTTTTGTGTGGCACTGGTGGTATTGGAGTAGGGGTGGTAGTAGGGAATAGATAGGGAAACAGTAGTGAAATGTGTCCTAACTTTATTGCAACGCAGTCTTTGAAAACATGAGTGAGTGTTAGTATGAGAGAGAGAGAGAGAGAGAGAGAGAGAGAGAGAGAGAGAGAGAGAGAGAGAGCCAACTAACTGTCAGCCAGTGTTGAGTTTCTATGCAAAACAAACTAAAACTCTGTTGAAAGTTATGACCGAAAACTTGCAAACCTTTTTAAAAGGCATTCAATTCTACGAAAAGCGATATAAGGAGAGAGAGAGAGAGAGAGAGAGAGAGAGAGAGAGAGAGAGAGAGAGAGAGAGAGAGAGAGAGAGAGAAATAGCTTTGAGTCTCAAAAACAAGTGGTGTTTTCAAGACATTCATATCTTCTCTTTATTGCGGATGAAAACTCCTGTACAGTATTTTTGAGCCCGGATTGCTCTGTACTGCTCTGGTATATAAAACACCAACAAATAGCTCGGGTCTCGTCATATGTGGGCTTATGTGGACTGTGGGGTTGGCAGCAGAGTAGTAGTAAAGCAATATTTTTTATGTATATAAGAAAATATATTATCAGGATTAACGAAATTATTGTTATAAATATATTATGTGTGTGTGTGTGTAGGGAATTATACAATAAAAAACTATTTTAGGTTTATTCATACATTTTTTTCATGGGTTATACAGTATATTGAAATTTATGATTACATCATTTGAAGAACAGATTTTTGGCTTTATTGTCAAATTATTAAACCAAAAATATTATAAAAATTATTTTATATTTTCATTTTATTTCATTTTTAATAAGTACTGAGAATCGATAATTTAATAATAAATTCATTAATAAATTATATATATATTGTATATACTGTAGTATAAAATAGACCAAACGGTATAATTGAATGTCAAAAATTATATATATTTTTTGGAGCAATCAATTCAATCAATTAGTTTAACAGCAATTCTGATCACTTATTCGTCATTTCCTGAATTTATTTCAAATAACATTCATTATTACATCCTTTTCAATAACATAATAGTCCTCACTCTTCAACTAATCGACCAAAAAGAGGGAAAATTTGGATATAATATATATACTGAATATAAAACTACTAAATTATATTATGCTTAACATAAATGCTCATTAAATAAATATACAGTATTTTTGTAGTAGTAGTATATTAGTAGTATAGTAGTAGCTGTTGAAGCTATAATTAGCTAATATTTTATTAATGAAAAAAATATTACTATTGAATATAATTTTAATATTTTGATTAATATACGGTAATAGTTTGAAAATTTAGTTTTTTTGTATAACTGGTTCATAAATAAATATGCAATCATTTAAATAGCAGATGTATTGTATATACGTTTTTCTTTCTATGCAAAGTTTTTTTTTAATTTTTAAGTTTTTAATAGTAAAGAAAATTTATTTATAAGAAAAAATGTAAAAACATAATACTTTTATATAAGGATGTCAGTAATCAATTTAAGTTAAATATTTCTTAAATAACAACTAATTTTATTATTGCACAACATTTTTTCTATTATTATTATATCAAAGTTGCAGAGCTTTTAAGTTATCTCAATGTCTTACCAGTAGACAAAAAAACAATAATATTGTATCTAAATATAATAAGTATAGTCTAACTTATTATTATTTTAGTGAAATAACTGATGCGGAAAACCATTTTCTAAAATAACGTAATAGTAATTATTATCATTTTATTGTCATTATATTTGAATGTCAAACCAATAGATTAGAAATTATTATTTCTTTTTCAAAAAAAGTAGAAAAAAATTGTTTTTGTTTTATATTTGAGACAATTTTGAGCAAAATTAATTTATTAGATATTATTATTTTGCAATTTATATGCTATTAATTTTTACTTTTAATTTCTCTTGTTTTTAAACTTTTTTATTATTGTTAAAAAATCTTTTTTTCAATGTAACAAATAATTAGTGTAACAGATTTTATTATTTATTATTATACAAACAAACAAACAATTTTTCATTTTTATTTTTTTCACACAAAAAAAATATTTGCTTTAGATTTTTTTTTAATAATATAACTCTAGCTTTCAAATTGTGTTTTATTTGTTTATTTATTTTATTTACTCTTTTTTTTAACGAAAAACATCGATGACTTCATTGAAAAAATACATTTCAATGTCTTTTCATAATTTTATTTTCTCAAAGTTTATTTGAGTTTTGGCTCTACTTTTGATGTGATTTGGATGACATTGAAGGCATCGAAACAGTGAGAGTATAACTTCCCATAAGTGATACCAATGAACAGCTATAATAACATGAATGTCAAAAAACATTTAATTTAGTTTTTAATTATTAAAAATTAATATTTAATCAATTTTATAAAATTGATCTACATTTTGAAATCATTGTCTGTCATAATAATCATATACAGTAATTATTTCATTGCAAAATAAAACTGTAATTGTGAAATAAGTATAAGTTGTAATATTACAGTATTTTTGCAATATATATATATATATATATATATGATAGGATATCTATAATATTGTTTTTATTTTATCAATTTTTAAAGACATTAACTGTATTATTATAAAAACGATAGAAACTTTATATCATATAATAAAAATGAGTGAATAAACTTATTTCTTTAAAAAATATCATTATATCAAGTTTTTACTATTTATTTATTATTCAACAGGATTACCAATAAACTTGAAATTTATTTAGTATTATATAAATAAAACTTTGTGCAATCATTAATTATTTAGTGAAACAACTAAATTAAATAGTTTTGATATAAATAAATAATAATCTAAATTATGCTTTCTATATATTAATATTATATACAGTATATTTTAAACTAATATTACATAAGTTTAATATTAGATTACCATAAATGCTATTTAATTAACATTAATAAATATATTAATCTAAAAGTACTGAATAAATATATATACTATATTTATATTCAATATATCAATACCTCGTATGTTTGGGTATTAGTACCATATTTCCAGTCATTAATTGTTGGTAATTGCCATTGAATTGAATTTTACTTTCATTTATCTACAAATAAAAGACAATTAGTTTACAAAAAAAAAACTTATTATATAATTATTATACAATAATAATTAAGTTTTAAAAAAATGATATTGCAATTTATATTATATAATACTGATATTATACAGTATCATAATAAAGTAGAGTATAGTATATTAGATTCAATAGAAAAATAGCTATAAAATTTGATAATAAATTAAAGTACCGATAAAACTATAGGACTAATATCGCCCTCTTTTGTTTGATTGTAAAATTATTATTAAAAATTTCTAATTAACCTTGTTCTTTCAATATTATCTTCAATTAAATATATAATTATAGTCTATTTATTTTTCTTTAAAAAATTTATGCTAATTTTGATGTTAAAATAATCAATAAATTTAAACTAATTTATTAATTGCATACCAATTGCAAGACAAATATCTCAGACGATTGTGTATTAAACGCATGAGTTTGATGTCCGCCGTAGACAACAACCGTTGACTGAGATTTGCCATCAAATAAGGATTTGAATCCATTTTCATCGATATATTTGGTATTTTTGTTAAGCCATTCAGTCAACTGAAACGGTGTCCGCAATGACTGTGAACTGTCATCACTATAGGGAGCGTCCCTTAGCTTTGAATCTAAATATATTAAGTTGAAGTTTTCATATTATATTATATGTTATGTTAATAGTATTTATTTGATAATAATAATAATAAAAAATAATAATTACTATTATGTAATAATTATATAACAAATATAAAAGCAAAAAAAACTAACTTTCAGATGGTTTTCCTGATTTGCATTCATCTGATGCCTGAAACTCTTGAATTATTGGCGCTAATTGTGAGCCCAAGTCCTGGCAATAAAACCAGCGCTCGTATAATATATCAGTCGAGTTGTCGACAAAATATCGGAGTGCATCCCATTCCTCCTTAAGTCTCTCTCTTTCAATTACTAGACCTTAAAAAAACGGCAGCAGTTTTTTTTGTTGATACAATTATTTTAATAAATTTTATTTTACAATAAAAAATAGGCTTAAAGCTAATGATTTTTTTGTGTTCATCATTTATACCAATAGTATTGGGAAATCTTTGTGGAGAGTGTGGTATTCGTGGGCCCAACAGAAACACCTGTCCCTCTCTAATGATAATATCCTTAGGTTTTTTATTGTGTATCACTTTAAGGCACATGTCTCCTTTGATTTGATAAAATAGCTATTGTATTAAAAAACAATATTAAATATATAAACTGTATATATATATATACAGTCGATGACAAAATTGGTGAACGAGGTTTTTTGTGTATATCTTTAGAATGGAAAGGAACTAGAACATAAAAATTTGTTTGCTACTATTATTTATTGGGACGGTCAGTTTGTTATTGTCACTTTTTTGTAATTGGGCACAGGTATGCAAGGACAGGGATGGTCAATATCTCAAAAACTATAATAGATATTAAAGTTTTATAAATTGCTAATTATACTAAATTAAAAAATTTTGGACACGTGTTTTAGTATTTTTAATTTTATTGTAAAGTATACGAACAAAATTAATTTGTTTGTTGGAAAAATCAAAATTTAGGAGGCCATATCTTTTAAACGCATTGATTTATGATGATTAAGTTAATTGATTTAAATTCTATATTTTAGTACTAATAATTCATCTATACATTAAATTTAGTTAGCTTATTTAGTTTTTTAAAAATTTGTAAATTAATTTTTTTCTATTGTAATTAAGTACTAATTATTGTCTTCTATTACATAACATTGATAACAAAATCTATAAATAATTATAATAGAAAAAAATTAATTTACAAATATTTAAAAAACTAAAAAAGCTAACTAAATTTAATGTATAGATGAATTGTTAGTACTAAAATATAGAATTTAAATCAATTAACTAAATCATGATAAATCAATGCGTTTAAAAGATATGGCCTCCTAATTTTTTATTTTTGCAACAAACAAATTAATTTTGTTCGAATACTTTACAATAAAATTAAAAATGCTAAAACACGTGTCCAATATATATATATATATATATATATATATATATACAATAACAAACTGACCGTCCCAATAAATAATAGTAGCAAACAAATTTTTTTGTTCTAGTTCCTTTCCATTCTAAAGATATACACAAAAAACCTCGTTCACCAATTTTGTCATCGACTGTATATATATATATATATAATTTAATAAATGGTTGTATATTAAATTGTATATTAAATTATAATTAATCAATATTTTTGTTGTTATATACTTCCTCTCCCTCTTCAATGTGATAATCTTTGCGCTGATTTGGTCCGCCGACAAAAAATACTTTCAATTGATTGGTATATCTAAAAGAAAAGTTTAATAATGATAATAACATTTGTTTTAAAATGTGCGATTAATTTACATGTAATTTTTTTATGTACATATAATATATAGTCTAATAAAATATTTGATTGATTATGTTTTAAACTTACAATAGTTTATTACAAATAGGCGGCAAAAAGTATTGCTTATTGCCGACAATCCAATCATTCATATTAATTATATTTAATGACATTTTTTTCAAAACACAAAATAGTTATACAATTATTTTTGTTCAAAAACTTGTTAAAAATAAAATTTTATAACAAATAACTTATAATTTGTCAAATTGAAAATCACTTTTATGTTTTCTGTTTATATAAACAACATTTTAATCTGTTTATTGATAATTAATATTCAAACTTCAGATAATTATATTAATTTTATCAATTATAATGTTTTTGGAAATCATACATTTGGCAAAAATTTTATTTTAAGTTTACATTTATTAAAATCATATAAATTTGAAATCAAATATCAAAAATAAAAATAATTGTATGTAATGTCATGATTTGAATTATTATTATTATATTTTGTTTGAAACTATATGTTTGAATTGTATTTAAGTATATTGTGTTGAATATACATGTATTTGATGTATTGGCTGAAAGAGATATCTTTGAGTAGCCAATGGGCAACAAAAATAGTTTTAAGATTTTATGACCCGACTGTCAACAGTGAGAAACTGTTGTGAGTTTATGGGCACCGATAGTACAGTTGGAGAGCACAGTCACTCTTGGATTGGCGACCAAACTGTATAGTTGTATACCATTTGTATCAATAGATGACAAATCTATTGACTATTACTTTTCAATATATCCAACCAATAAACATATTTTATTAAAACTAAAATATAGTTAATTATTAAGTGACTTCAATAAAGTACCTAGTTCACATAATAATATCCTGACAAATAATAAACAAAACCTAACATTTTGGTGTCACAACCGTGGGATTGAAGCACTTGGAGGACAAGTTGGTGGACATTGAGAAGAGAGAGAAAAAGCGAGACAAGCGATAACTGGACTGTCACTGCGGTATAACAATTGATTTTGAGATTGTGTATCATTTTATTTGTGTCTGAGAGTCATATCAATGAATTGTTTGCGCGTTGATATCATTGTGGTTAACATAACTTTATAAATTTGGGAAAAGTATGGCAGATGAGGTAGATCCAAATGTAGGTAATGGGGTACCGGAAATAAATTTAACACAGATGAGCAATGCAATCGCATCAAATTTAGTTAGTTCACGTCAGCATCACATACCAGTATTCAATGGGATTAGAGATGAGGATCCTATTAGATTTTTGCGCACATTTGAGAGAGTCGCCCGTGCATTGACATGGAGTGACAGTGCAATGATGGCAAAATTTCCCAACTATTTAGCTAATAGTGCTGAGGAATGGTATTATTTAAATGTTGATTGTGCTGTTGATGAGGCCGATCATGAGGATGATGACGATGACGAGTGTGTGAAACCCAATACATTTGTTGAACTAAAAGATTCATTTTTAAATCACTTTTTACGCGGTGATTATAAAGCATATTTAATGAGGGAATTATCTAAGAGAAAATATACAGGAACTGAAAGTATATTAAATTATATAACTAGTGTCAAAATTATATGCCATGATATAGATTCAGATATGAGTACTGAACAGAAATTGCAATACATATTGCAGGGAATGGACGATGAAACAGCCGCTCAGATAACATATTTTAGTCCTAAAACAGTTAAGGAATTAGAGAAAATTGCCCGGAATATAGAGCAGGGGAGGGAATTATTGCAAAAGTCTAGAACCGATACTAATAAAAATAAAAAAGTAAATGCTGTTCGAGTTGATAATCAAGAGAAAAAAGTTGATAATTCAAATGACAGTATGTTAAGTGCTATAAATAAATTAAATGAAACATTGAATGCTATGAGTGTAACTAAACAAAATAGTAATAACAATAGTTATGGTTATAATTACAGTAATAAAACTGTTGGTAATGAGAATAAATTTGATAGAAATAAAAATTATCATTTCAATAAAAATAAGTATAAAATGAATGGGCAAATGAATAGTCAGTACAACAATCAATATAATCGTAATAAAAATTTCAATTATAAATTTAATGGTAATTGTTTTCATTGTGGGAAAAAGGGACACAGAAAAACTGATTGTCGATCACTACAGCAAACAAATAGAGAGTCAAACAATGACAAACAAATTGAATCAATTAAAACTGATAATCAATTAGTTAATACAGTAAACAAAAATATTGTTAAGAAAACTAATAATTTAATCTCAATAAATGTTGAAATTAATGGTAAAATGTATAATGGGTTAATTGATTCGGGTAGTGAAGTGACTATTGTTAAAAAAGTTATATGCGATGAGCTAGGTCTCAAACCTATGCCTTATAAAGGTCCTAAAGTAACTGCTGTTACTGCTGATGAATTGAAACTTTTTGGTACAGTTGATATCAATATGATTATTAAGGGTATAACAACAAAAATATTCAATATTAATATGTGTGCACTTGTTGTTGATATATTGCCCGCCGATATATTGATAGGTATGGATCTCATGGAAAAATACGGTATAGATATAGACTGCAAAAATAAATTGGTTAAAATTAATGAGACTATAATAAGTACAGTAGTTTTGTCTATATTTGATTCAAATGACAAAATTATATGTCAAAGCGATTCAATGCAAAAATGTAGCAAAAATAATACTAAAAAAGTTTTAGATATTAATGATTCCGTAAAAACACTGATAAACAAAAATATTGAAATTGATACAGAAATTGATGGTAAAAATAAAATTGTACAGGGTAATGTACATGTTTGCTATAATGTTAATGTAAATCCAAATACTGTACAAATAATTGATTGCAAACTAAGCAATAAAAATAACTTTTTAAACAAAAATGTTTTATTTTACACAAATGATATACAGTATGATAAACACAACATAGCTATTAGAAATGCTATCAGAGTTCCCAAATACCAGACACTCACAGTTCAGGTGCTGAACGCAACAAACAAAGTAATAAAACTAAATGAGGGATCAGTTATTGGATGTATTGAAACAGTACCAGAAAAACATATCATACCAATGCATGATTTATTGGATGACAATATAACTGAAAAACATTTAGAAAATAGTTATACAGTAAATGCCGCGAATATAAACTATACCGATAATAGCAAAAACAATATAAAAGAGTCGAAAATAGTTATATTTGAAAGAGAGGTCACATGTGGTACACACTTGAATGACAAACAAAAACAACAATTAGTTGAGATATTAGAGAGATATCCAGATTTGCTAACTTTTGACGACAATAAAGTCGGAAAAATAAAAGATTTTGAATACACAATACATATGAAACCAGATGTTAAACCAATTCATTGCGCACCGGCTAAGGTCACAGATGAACAGTTTAAACTAATTGAAACTGAAATAACAAAATTGAAAAATAAAGAGATAATACAGGATAGTCAGTCACCATATAGTAGTCGTATAGTATTAGTTATGAAGAAAAACGGATCTCCCCGTATGTGTATCGACTATAGAGGTGTAAATGAGTTGATAGAGTTTGATGCCTATCCCTTAGTAAATACAGATATTTGTATTAGATTTTTGGCAAATATGCGCTATATTACCAAATTAGATGCCAATAATGCATTTCATCAAACAGTATTAAGTAAAGAGTCTCGAAAATACAGTGCATTTGTCACACCTAGTGGACAACTATATGAGTATACCAGAGTACCGTATGGATTGTCAATATCTACCGCTGCATTCAATAGGGCATTACATTTAGCTATAGGTAATTTGAAATTTATTGATTGTATTACTTTTGTTGATGACATTGGTATAGGAGGCAAAACATTTGCTGAGCACAACATTAGGTTAGAAAAGGTATTAAATAAATTGTCTGAATATAACTTTACACTTAGAGCTGACAAATGCAATTTTGCTATGGATTCAGTCATATTTTTGGGCTATAAAATCAGTGAAATAGGTATACAATTAGCACCATCACTGACAGATACCATAAATAATTTAATACAACCAACTAATGTATCGGAAGTTAGGCACATATTAGGTGTACTAAACTTTGCTAAGCGTTTGATAGGTCACTATAGCCTACATGTTGAACCGATTACAAAACTTTTAAAGAAATCCCAACCATTTATATGGGGTGAGGAACAGGTGAAAGCATTCAAAACAATAAAACAATTGTTTAGAGAACAACCATTTGTTAAGCCATTTGATTACAGCCTTGAAACTGAGCTCAGGACAGATGCATCACTTACAGCACTGGCAGGTGTTTTGATGCAAAAACATGATAACAAATATTATCCATGTGGTTATTTTAGTCGCACAACTAATGTAAATGAGAGGACATATCCTATTTATGACTTGGAAGTTATGGCTGCAGTCGAGAGTATGGAGTATTTTTCAGATTTAATTACTAATAAATACTTCAAATTAATTACTGATAACAAAGCAGTTTCATTCATTAAAAGTAAAAAGGATTTGAAAGGTAGACTAAACAAATTTGCAGTAATAATGTTAAACTATAATTTTGATATAACACACATACCTGGATCACAAAATAAATTACCAGATTTTCTATCAAGGTATCCAATCAATCATAAAATAATTGACAATAAAAACATAACAGAGTCTGACATAAATACATTAGAATCTAGTGAACACATAATAAACTGTAATATAATTAGTTTAACAAACAATATACAGTATAATGTTAATACAGTACATACTAATGTAGATAATATCAAATTAGATAAAACTTTATTTTGTAATAAAAATAAATTTGATATTTTAATTACTGAACAAAACAATGACAATGAGTTGAAACAAATAATTTCTATGCTAAACAATGATAACATTCATAAGTCTATCAAACATAAAGTTGATAAATTTATTTTAGTTGACAATATATTATGTAAGTTTATGATACGTAATAACATACCTAAATATCTCATATGTATTCCCAGATCAATGATTTTGAATATACTGTATCAATATCATGATTTAGCTACTAGTGCTCACTTAGGTGTCAAAAGGACTATACGTAAAATATGCGATCATTTATATTGGCCTGAAATGTCTAAATACATTAAATACTATATTAAATCTTGTATTGAGTGTCAAAAGAGAAAAAGGTTGAGACAGAGACCAATAGGTTTAATGCAACCAATAATTGTTAGTTATTGTTTT